CCCAGGGCAGCGACGCGCGGCTGGAGGAGCCGGACCGCCTGCTCCCGAGTCTACCCGGTACGGAAGTCGCGCGGCTTCGGCAGGACTTGCCGTAATCATCGTTAAGGTGACGAGTTATGCGAGCAACGCGCGGGCGGAAGGTGGCGGCGGTTATACGTTCATCCCGCCTTTCTACCGTACAACTCAAGGTGGCGAACGCGCCTGGAACTCCTGCGTCCTGTTCCCCCCCACAACAGCCCTGCGAGGTGGGCTGGCCCAAAGCCGCCCTGCCGCCTCTCGCGCCTGGGAGAGGCCTGGAACTCGCCGCCCCCGTTTCTGGGCCAGCAGCTCCGCCGCCGCCGCGCCAAACCGGCTCTCCAGTGAGATAGCAGGAGATACGGACTAACCCTCCGGGTGGTCCTTATTTTTGCAAATGCGCTGGCGGCCCGGGCGGCTGGATCTCGGCGTTCTGCACGTGGCCCCTCTGTTGAGCGAGGTGCATAGGAAAGAAAGCGGGCCCAGCGGGTTCGCACATGAGGTATATGAGCCGTGCAATGTCTGCGATTTAAAAAATGGTCTGATTATTCCCCATGGACAGTCTTGCCTTCCTGTTCTTTGTTTAGTCAGTCACGGGAAATATTTTCGGGTGGGGGACAGCGTGTGTGGAAAGCCATCATTTTCACAGGAAATGTGCACTCCTCTTTATTTTCCAGTCAAGCGAGTTCGGCCACATGAGCTGGAGGCTGGCCCAGCAGCTTCTTCATTTATTTACCATCAGGTTACAGAGAGTTGGAATGGGGTGGAGATAACGATAGGCCAGAGATACACAATCACAATGCAGACCTATCTGTGTGGTGGCTCCATCTTATCTGGGGTAATAAAAACAAAAAATGTAGGTAGGGTAGATTGGTCACTCCCTTCGTGTGTTGAAAGGTGACACAAGCGTTACCCTGAGCTTCTGGAAAACTTGTGATACATGGATGGAATTTGGGGGAATCAGGGGAATTTATTTCCCCTTCTGACTTTCAAGCAAAGTGATAGATTTGCTTTACAGGTATCTATGTGCCTGCTCATTCACTGGTTCTATGCATAAATCCATCCGATACCTATTTCAGTTGAGTGTGAACATGAATAGGAGCTGTGTTCCCTCTCTAGTGACACTTCACTCCCCGCATGAAGTCTGCAATGGTTTCTGGGCTCCAGAGTAGCTTCTCAAAACAGGATCTCTTAGAGCAGCGGTGCAAAAAGGGGGCCCAGGGGCTGCTCAGCATCCCACTGACGGAGGCAAACATGAATCGTTATTTGTTTTTGGAGGGTTTGGGGGAACATTAAGGGGAAAACCTGGTGCTTTGAGCCTTGCAATCCTTAAGGGGCTACTTCATCCCAGCCCTACCTAGAGATGTTGCCAGAATGCGAGCCTGCGATTGCTGGGTCCTCCGCCCTTGAGACCACTTTTCCCTTGGAGAACAGCTGTACTGTGGGAAAGCCAGACCGCAGTGCCTGACCAGAAGTGGCAGTTGCACACAAGATTCTTGCACAGACAGCACTTCTGCGCAGCAAGAAAGAAAGACTTTGTGCCTTGTATACGCACAAAGCAAACAGGCATGATGTGAGTTGTATGAGTGCAACTAGTGTAGATCTGTGTGTCCGTGCGTCTGTTACTAACCAAATGCAGTCACAATGAAACCTGAGCAGCCATGGGTCTATGGGGAGTGTGAGCTGAACTGAACCCTTTCCTCATGCAATTAATGTCCGGTTTGGCCCTTACCTTAAATGGTTTACAGGATCTCTTATGCTACCAAAGGCTGCTTAAGCACCTTGCCATTTTTATTTTTCGCTGACACTACAGGCTTTACCAATACCCTCAGCGTGATAATGAACTAGGATCTGCCACTGCTTTTCAGCAGCTAAGTCCAACTATGGCCTTACAGCAAAGGACTGCGGCTTGTGGTATTTGGCTGAATACCACAATGTGTTAACTAACAAGTTCACGTGCAGTGGGACTTACTGGATAGTAAGCATAGTAAGAGCCAGTCAGTATACAGTAGTGGTCAAAAGTGCTGGACTAGGAGCAGTGAAACCTGAGTTCTAGTCCTCCCTTAGGGACGGAACCTAAGTGGGGGGCTTTGGGCCGATCCCTCTTTCACCCTAGGCTCTCAAATCAGAAAACACCCCAAAAGAGAGTACTGGCAACCCCCTTCCCAAAACTTTGCCAAGAAAGCTGCATGGACCAGTCATGTAGTTACCAAGAGCCACGGCCCATAATGTGAAGGAGCACGAGGAGCATGGCTAAGGTTCACAGGGTATCCTGATGCCGCTATGGCCCTTGTGGCAAGTACACGGCAGGGTCAGTTTGCTGTTCCTGTGATGCCTGGAGACATGCAGATTGCTCCTTGGTGACGTTGCAATGCTGCTTTGCCACTCAATCCACAGCTCCAGCCAAGAAGTGCCCAGAACTACCACCAGGCGGCATTCCCTGTCCTAGGGCCTGGCTGTGGCATCTCTGCATTTGCCAATTACGGGGATGCTTGTAATTTTCCTTTTTTGTTTTTTGTGGCTTCCCACCCACCCACTTTTACAGTAACTGGTGCAGAAGGCCAGGCGCACGAGACCACTGTAATGTGCAGATCTTTCTCCTGGAATGTTTTCTTTCATCTCTAATCACAGCACTGAGGCTCATAAATCAGGCAGTCAAGACTAAAAGCCAAACAAGAAGCATAATTTGCTTCTTCCTGGCCCCTGTTGTTTTTGGCACACCGAAACCAGAGACTTTCCCCGATGATGACACTGTGGGGGAATGTGGGTGAGCAAACGTCAGCCTGGTGGCTCTCCCACCTCCTCTGCTCTCTTTCAAGACATGCCAAGAGATCATCGGAGGCTGATGAAGAGAACAGAGTGGACACGTGCCTTTGCTGAAGAACAAGCCGTGTGCTTCAGGCATTGCTTGCCCAGGAGCAACAGGAAAGGCCGCTACTTGATGCTGGGAATCGGGCTTCAGGCAATGAAGTCCACTGCTTGCCTATTTATCTACACATCTTTACACACGTGTTTAACCTCACACATGTGCTGCTTGAAACCAGTGCTCCCTAGTGGGCCAACCTTGTGCTGAACAGTCCACTTCTGAAGGGCTCTCGGGTCACGTACCCAAAGGTTTTGCCGTTGTTGACTTTCCAGAATTAGCTGCCTCTGAGCATCACACTCAGCAGGAGGCACTGGAGTTATCTACTCATAGCTGTCCCCATCTGGTGGGATAGACAGAACTTTATTTAATAACAACCACCTGCACCTAAACATATACACTAGCGTATATACATTATCTTCATTTGCATTACCTTTTGATCCGATGTATCCCCTCACCCCCTTTGGCGAATGGCACCTGAGGTCCAGGAGAAGGGAGGGAAACAGCATCAGTGGCAATGAGTCCTTCAGATTATAACATCTAGAATGTTGTTCTCAAACTGGAGGGCAACATTTAACTTGTCAGTGTGCATCATAAAATCAAATGGCATCTTTTCTACTTTGTTCCTTTTAACACGCAAGTTCTACAGTCCCATTAAACCTGTCATAAACAATTTATTGTCCAGTTAAGAAATTACTCAGAAGCTACATATTTTTAGTGGAAATATTAACTTTGACCAAAGTTAAGCTGCTGGTAATAATCTCCACAACGTAAACTCAGCCTCTGGTACTTGTAAGGGGAAAGGTGAAAAACCAACTTCCTCTCTTTTTTAAACGATATCCGTTTTCCTAAATGGCATGAAAGTGCCTCTGCTCGCTTTACCATAATTTTCCACTTGCCCTCCTCTTCTCTGAATGTTTCCTGGCATTTCCTCCTCCTCCTCCAAGAGGGAGTTTCTGTAATGCCCAAGAGATACTGAAGGAATTAACTCCCACTTCCTTTCCTTGAATAGCCACTGGGTACAAAGGTGGTGGTGGGAGCATGCAGGAGAAACACGGATCCTATCCGGATGCCCAAGTAGGATGGCACATATTGTATGTTGTTTCTCTAGACTTCTCCCAGAGAGTTAGAGGGAAACCAGCTCTCCAGAAAGGCTGCAGCAGTTTCCACAATGACTTCTGCTTCATCTACAAAAGCCAAAGCTACCGCAAAACCTGCCCCAGGGTCCCCCAGAGGTTGAGACTGCAATACCCAGAACAGGAGGCACCAAGTGTCTGCAGGCAGAGCTGCCTCCACGCTAAGAGACAGCCGATTATCTTGCTTGTTGCAAGTTTAGTTGCAATGAGCGTTCCAACAGACTCTGCTATCAGGAGGATCCAGTGACTGAGACTGATGGAACAAACTGAAGCGTGTTTCTAATGATCCCAAAATAATCACCCACAACACAATGTGTATACTGGACACCTCAGAGAATAAAACATTAAATTGGTTAACTATCAACTTCATTCTGCTGGAGGTGTAAATTGATGAAGGGACATTTACATATCTTTTTTTAAATTTATCAAATTTGTCACCACCCATTTTGTTGAAACAACTCTGATGTGGGCTTGCCCCATAATTGTCCCACTTCAGTTTAATATCTTGAAGTTTTTAATATGGTTTAAAGATGTGAATGTGATTTTCAATTCTGCACCAAACATTTGGAATGTATTATTCTATGAAGAATAGTTGGGTATGACAAAAAAAAGAGTGTTCTTTTACACTGGAAAGACAGTGCCACTCTGTTACAATCTTGGACAGATGACAGGGGTCCACTTTTTGCTTATGAACCAGTCCTCTCTTGATGTATTAAAACTGGACTCTGGACCCCTTTTAATCACAGTAGGCCTGGGCAAGGGTTGGAGACAGCCTTGGTCGCTCCGAAGGAAGATCTTCACCAGGACTCAGGTGCAAGGAACGGGGCTCTCTTGGTCCTATGTGATTAGGTTCTATTGACGTGGACCACCCAGGAAGGCTGAGTTGGGGGCACATCCTGGAATGGTTCTGCCTCTTCCTGGGCTAGTGGGTGTTGTAGTCAGCCTGCTGGGTATGTCTCAGTTGAATCCCACAGAGTTCAGTCCTCTCCCCACTACTTTTCAGTACCTATACGAAACCATCAATTCAGGCTGGAAGTTGTGATCCAGTCTGTGAAGAGCAAATGGGATGAAACAGGCTGACATTAGAGTTGCTATCTGTCCAAAGGCCATCTGGCTTTCTGGCTGCGCCAGGTTTAACTCTATTCTGGAGCCTCCACAAAATTCCAGATGTAGCCAAATTAACTGTTATACATCAGGAGGATGCCCGTGACCATTTTATCTACAGTTCCCTTTCTGCAATTCCCAAGTTCTGTTTTGCTGCTGCTGCTGCTACAGTCTGCATTGAGCAAGGGCATCCATATGTAAAGGAATGCAGGGCTGACCTTGGGGAAGGCAGGAGAGGACCGGCAAAAGAGATTGCAATCCTGAGAAAGCAAGAAGTATGAGAAAGAAACTCAACGTAGTTTTTGTTTAGTGTAAGATGGGACAGAGAGGGACTTTGGCAGGCTGCCACAATTCTGTTATCCTACCTTACTACAATCAAGAACATTCCTGGAATCCCTGGCAAGTCTGCTTTTTCACCTGGGCTACATTGAAGGGCCAAAAGAACAGAAGGATACCCAGCATGGCAGGTGAAATCTCACCTTCTTAGGGAGGCTGTCAGAAGTCCTGGGAGATCTTTCTGAGATTTTGCAGTGCCTGGCCTGGGACTGCTGCTGGAAGAAGGGGGAGAAGTCTCAGTCTAAAATAGGCAACGTAAGGAGACAAGGAAAACTGAAGGCTACAGCGCACCGACCATCCAGCCCCTCGCCAGATAAATCTAGCGTAAAAAAAGGGCCGCACGTCCCACGGAGGATCCAGAGGCTGAGCGTGAGCGAGGCCCAAAGTCAGTAAGCAGCATCTGCAAGACACGCTGGGACAGCAGCAGATTGCATGGCCAGCGAGGAGAGGAATGAATCGGGAAGGAAGACGTGAGTGGAATGTGGAGTTCTGATGGTACAGGCCACGTCCTGCCCAGGTTAGCCTTTGGCCCCTGAGAGAGAAGATCAGAGGGAGGGAGGGAGGGTAGGGAGAGCAGATTAGGCCTGGTCTTGCAGTCTTTCTAAAAGACATGCATGGTTTAAGGAAGAAGAAGCCCATATTTTATATCTATCAGATCAGAATAAGGTGTGCGAGTGTTCTGGGGGATTCTATGATTTTCCTTGCTTAGTTCTCCCCGAACCCTGATGCTATCAATATCCCTAAGACTGTATAACATCAAAGATAATATGCCCCTTGATCTGTGCAATTTCTGTTATCTGCAAAAAGAATCTGCTGCCGAAGGGGAAACCCTCAGAACCACCAATTAGCCCCCCCCCCCACTACCATTTAGCATTACAGGCAACTGAAAGAGTTGTGGCAACACTTTGTTTCCATTTCAAAAGGGTGAAATATCTCACAAGCACAACTGGTTCACCTTGGGCACAGGAACAGGTTTGTGAAACTGGTTTTATGACACAGATCATGACTTGTGCTCTTAACCGCAGAAGATCCTGTCGGGGGAAGGGGGACTTGGTGTCTCCTGCTCTGAGAAGATGTTTCCCTGGGCAGCTGCATGTGGACAGACCCTGTAGGAAGAGAGGATACGCTTTTATTAAATCTGCAGTAGTGCACCACAAAAGCTCCACGTGCTGTGGCCAGGGCTGTGGCTAGGTAGGGAAGGGCTACTCAGGCCCCCAAGCGACTCTGTCCAGTACGGCCAAATCCAAGAGGCCTCAGAGAAGCTGCTTCTATTTGGATCAGGGCAGTTTGCTTCGCAGCCACGGTAAACAAGCCAGCGCATAACTGAGCCCCAAAGGAGCAGAACAGAGACTCCCCAGTGGGCTAAGGGAAGCCAGCTGCCCCAAACTTACTCTGAGCACCTCCTGCAAGCTCCCTTTTGGGCCGTTTGGTGCTGAACAATGCTCTTCTTCCTTAAGGAGACCGCAGTGCCTCTTTTTATACGCTACACGCAGAAAACAAGGGCCATCCTTCTCCTCCAGAGCGATCTGCTTCTGTTCAGCTGCATCTGTGTGAGAAGAGCCCCCCCGCTGCACGGCCCAGGAGGGCGGGGCCCCTGCTGCAGGCAGCTTTGTGATGCAGCCCACACGGGCCTCCTGGCTCGCTCCTGCTTCAACCCAGGTTGGCCCAGGAAACCGGAGAGCTTTACTTGGGACTTCTCCTTTCAGAAGAGAGCGAGACCCAACCACGTGTCTGCCAGAATGCAACTGCCCCCAGTTCACTTCAACCCATTTGCCAGCTCCCCAAGGCCACAGGATGCTTCTGATGGCATATCTGGCTGCAGTGAAGGGGCCCCTTCCTCTCCCAGTGAGTCCCAAAGCCCCTGATTCCCATAGCTCCTTGGCCTGGGATTGGGGAACCCTATGCCCCTTCCCTGGGCAAGCTGTGCTCCAAAATGGGGTAGGGAGGAGGGGATAAACAAATACC